AACATGCTCCCAACTCCTGGGAAAATCCTAACCTGGGTTGGCAGAGTCTCCTAGACACCAGTTGCTGTCTGCCAGAGGATAGCTGGTGGGCCTGCACCAGCCCTGATAGGGTGCCATGCAGGATTGGAAGCAGCTAAGGGGAAGGAGCCCCACCCCACCTAGATGGATGTGGTCTCTGGGGGGCTTCAAGAAGGACCTCGCCCTCCGGGAACAGAGAGACAGCTTTTCAGTGGCTGTGATTAGACTCTCATTCCTCTGTATTTCCTGCTGGGCTTAGGGGACCTTCTAAGTTCAGATTTGTCTCTTCCAAGCTAAACCACTCACTGGCTGAAAAATGATCAGATAGTGGTCCACAGAGGCATGGATTCCTCTTCAGCCAGAATGAGTGTGACCCAACATAGAAGTCTTCCTTGATGTGATTTTAAGAGGAGGGATATGGAAATCAGTCACACAACAGTAATGTAGTTTAATCTCCTTTTGGTAAAATATAAACTGAATATGTTTGTGAATTCTCCTGGAATGGCCTAGAAAGAAAAGCACAAACTGTTAACTCTCCCAGGGAAGACAGGTGGAAAATATTCACTTATTACTTTAAAAAAAAAAAAAAAAAGGATTTGTTGATTTTGTAATTGAAAAAAAAAAATCTACAGCCATCTTTGCTATTCAGCTGGTTTCCTAGCTTTAGATCAATGAATTGCCTGGAGCAATGGGCCAACAGATGGGTTTGGCTTTTCTTCTGGGCTGCTGTGGTTCCACCAGCTGACCCCACCTCTTCCAAAAAATGTAAAGTGTGAATTCGCCAGGTTGCAGGAATCTCGGTTTACAGTGTGTGTGGACCTAGCTGGGGACTGTTGGCTGCACACCTGGAAAAGCAAAGGCAACTGCTGCTCTAGCAGTGCCACGGGGAGAGCCCTGTGGGGTGACTACCTGTTGACCCGCAAATCGGTTTCCTTCCCTCCTTGCCCCCAGTCCGGATCCTTTCCACTAGCAGGGAGTTCGAAGGATGTAGACTCCTTGAGTCCCCATCACGCGACATAGGTGGTTTGTGCTGCTTCGAACTCAGAGGTGATGCACAGGAAACAATGACCGAGGTGACGCATTCATGCCAGAGCTGGACCGGCAGCCCCGTGCCCAGCCATCCACCCTCCAGGATGCTGGATCCCCCCGCTCTGCGCCGCCCAGCGCTCCACCATTCGGGGGCTCCCTATTTCCTTCTTGGAAGTGGAGACGTCGTTTCCACATTGATCAAGGGACGTCTGAAGGAAATGAGTGCGGATCGCTTAACAAAGACAACATAACCCGCCAGGGAGAAAGGCCCCAGAGACCGTCCTCCGTGCTCCCGGGGAGCTCCCCGTGCCAAGGCTGGACACACAGCTTGCCCAGGGCAGGAGAGGGTCCCCGCAGACTGCCCGAGGACCCGACTTGTGAACGAACATCTGCTCTCACCCTGCCACCCCTGCCTGGGCCGCTAGAAGAACGGCGGGTCCTCCTTGTCAGGTCGGTGGGTGCAGGGATCCAGGCACAGCAGTGCTAGCACACGCCACTCCCCGCCACTCCTGGCCCAGCAGCCTCAGTACCCAGAGCTGGGACTCGGGAAAGAGCGAGTAGGGGGAGGAGAGGCAGGGGCGGGGGCTAGGGGCCGAGACACCGGGCATGACCCTTGGCCCCCATTTGGGTTTGGGGAGTGGAAGAGTGAGGGCGACCGGCAGAGGACGGAGACCAGCGGCAAGCCCGGGAGTTCGGCAAGAACTGAGAGCATCCAGGGTGGCGCTGGTGTCCGCGGCGCCAGGGCGGAGAAGTTCGAGACACTGAAATAGCGTTGGGGATGAGGCTCATGTCCAGCCCCTGGAGCAGATGAAAGACGCGCAAGGGGTGGGAGCAGATGTCGCACGTCGCCCTGGAGAGCAGCAGAAGGCACCGCAACCCTGAGGCCCTACTCCTTCTGGGGGTGCGCGGTGGCGGGAGCTGGCAGCTCTCAGAAGGCTAGGAGGATGGAGAGCCTTCCTAAGGGGCCGCAGGGAGGCAAACAGGGCGTCAACTGTGGCGCGCCCTTGGCAGAGATCTGGCGCTCTCCACCACAACAAGGTTAGCGAAAGAGGTGGGCAGCCTCCTGGGGACCTCCAGCGTGGGGCTCAGCCGCCAGATAGCCATGAACTCATGAAGCGACCCATGGCGAGGACGGCAAGCGCGGCTACACGAGGACCACAAGGTAGCAGTGCATCCAGCACCGCGATTCAACTGCGGAGGCCGAGGTCAGCGGCAGGCTCATGGGCACAGGAACACGTGGGTCACGCTGTGCGGGGGCTGGGTCCTGCTTCTGATGCGAATAAATAGGGAGTTATCCAGGACCCCCTCCGAGGTGCCAAGAGCACAGCCCAGGATGAGCAGCGGCTTGCAGCACCCCAGGAACGACCGCCCAGCAGGAGAACTTTGCCCTTCGACCGGATGGATGATCTCTGCGGCCAGCCTGGGACGCACAGACGGCCCGGGAGCAAGCTCACCCTAGCAGGGAGGGAGGCTCTCGTGGTGGCGCCCTGTGTGCTGGCGCTGCGCACAGGCCCAGCAGGGCTCCAGGGTTTCCCTGCAGCTCTCCTCTGGGCTTGTGAGCCTCCTCACCTCCGAATGAGAACGCCCTCTTTGCCACCAGACGACTGGCCCCTGGGAGCCCGGGTGAAGCCTGATTCCTGGCGGGCAGGTGGAGGCTGAGGGGTTCTGGCCAGGTCATTTTGCTTTGGCGCAGCTGCACAGCAAGACTGCTCCTTGTTAGTTTTGCTCTAGGCTTTCAGAAGACATCCCCTCCTCTCCCAGAAGCTAACGTTGATGTGTCAATGTTGCAAGCTCTGTAGTTATGTCATAAAAACGAGGGTTTGCTGGAGGAGTCTGGGATAAGAAGAAACCAGGGTAGAAGGAAACAGGAATTGAAGTCTGTCCTTAAGAGGCAGCTATTGGCCAGTTACGGTGGCTCATGACTGTAATCCCAACACTTTAGGATGCCGAGGGGGGTGGATCACAAAGTCAGGAGTTCAAGACCAGCCTGGCCAAGATGGTGAAACCCCATCTCCACTAAAAATACAAAAATTAGCCGGGCCCCGTGGTAACCCCAGCTACTCAGGAGGCTGAGACAAGAGAATCATTTGAACTTGGGCAGCAGAGGTTGCAGTGAGCTGAGATCACACCGCTACACTCCAGCCTGGGTGACAGAGTGAGACACCTTCAAGAAGAAGAGAGGAGGCGAAGGAGGAGGTAGTTGTTACCATTAAAGGTGTTTACAAGTGCTCCACTTTTCCACCTGTAGCTGCTCCTGGGTCTTGTTTCTAATATTAAGGTCGGTGTGCCCATAGCATTTGCCCTTAGGCAATGGCTTCGAAAGGAAAGTTTCCTCACAGGAACCTGCTTATGGGAACCTACAGGCAGTGGCCAGGCTACCATATCAGACTGCCAAGGCATATTATGCTGCAGCACTGTGCCCCCTCCCCTGGTGGCTGAGCCAACCTTCCAGGGAGAAGACCCAAGGGTGATTGTGGTGATCTAGGCTAGGGAGGGAAGCCCAATGTCTGACTGCTAACCTAGAGCTCAAACATGGAGTCTGCTTCATTTTTCCAGGTCAAAAGAGTGTTTTCATTGCTTGGCAGTAACTGTGGAGGCAAGGGGGGCGGGGTTGCACTGTATAGCTTTCCATTGTCCATTGGATGTCATTCCAGAAGGAGGAGATGGGGCCTGGAACCAGGGGATTTAGTCATCAGCAAGTTAAGACGAGGATTTTGTGAAAGCTGAGGGAGGGAGAGAGGCAGAGAGAGAATGCTTAAAAGCACAGATTGTTTCTCCTTTGCTTTTTTGACTCCAGTTTCTTTACTCCAGCACCAAACATAAAAACGAAACACATTTGACCTTTCATTGTTAGGCTCCTCTTGAGAGCTCTCTGTGAGATTTATCAGGTTGAGGGCCCTGTGGAGAGTCTGTGCAAACTCCTGTTATCCACCTGAGCCTGGAGTTTGACCATAAAATGACCAATTATGTGAACTCCAAGACCCCACAGTGGGTGGGAAATACAACAAACTGCAGCCTTTTGGGAGCTTGGCACAGACTACCTTCTGCAGTGGAATTAGCCAGGGGTTCTCTCCAGCATCATCCACTTTGTAATGATTGAGCAGGGGATGGATGCTTGAATCCCACCAGTTCACCATCACTGAAGAAGAAGGAGCTTCAGAGAGGAGATATAGATAACATGAAAAATTAGCAGAAGAAATTATAAAGGCATGAGAAATAAAGAGCGGAAAAGGAGAGGAACCGTATTGAAAAGCAAAGAAAATCCAATAACCTGTGAAAAGTGCGCATGTCAGTTTTCAAAATAAGCCTTTCTGCTTGCAAAGACTGATTGGAAAGTGTGCAGTGTTTTACCAATCAAGATTGCAACTCTCATCAATCCAAATATTTTACATTTCCCACATCTGTCTACTATTTCATTTTGCAGGATAAGTGGGTCGCTGAAAATGTATACATGGATTCATTTTTAGGTGATATTTTAGGTGTACCAAAACATCTTTTTTATGACTCCATCATGAGCATTTTAGGAACCTCATTATTTTGCTTATAGACCCACATGTGTGATGTTGTTAGGCCTTCCCAAATTATATGTGAGAAATGGGTGATAAAATGCTAATATTTAAATAACTCTTCAGATATTTAAATGGCATAGAAATTAAGCATGAAGTTCTGTACTCTTGTTTCGATGGACCTGTGGATTTAGGCACATGCAATCTTGGGGAGTAGAGAGCTTGGTGCCATATATTTAAATGATGGCATTACTGAGGTTGGAGGAAGTGGGTCACAGAAGATCCAAAATGAACAGTTCATCTCTGGATAAGGTGCAACTTACAAATCTAGATTGAGTAGCATGTTTTCCTTGACATGATTTATCTTTGGTTTGACTCTGGCTATCCTAAGGTTGCGTAGTTACCCCATGTTTGTAACCGACTTGGTTTATTAATCCCATGGCTGAAGACTGTGCAACTGATTTAGTATTTATTGAGCTCCCACAACATGTCAAACACAGTGTAAACTCCAGTCTGAAGAGCTTCACATGTGATTCAGCAGCACATGCATTTTACACACATAGCAAAGACATCAATGAATGAAGGTAAATCAATTAAGAACCTGCCTTGGGAAACAAAGGTGCTCCTGACCTCTCATCTGTGAGGGACAGGCCCTGTATTCACTCCCAGATCTAGCCACACTCTTGAGGTTAGTTTTGTGTCTTACATTTGAAAGACTACTAGATGTTCAGGAATGCAAACCACAGAACAGAGGTGGTGGGTAAGCCTACCTGAGAAAATAAACCTGGAACTTAGCTATCCCAGTAAAAGAGCAGATTGAAAATTCACAAGAACAAAAAATCAAGACAGTTACAGGAATTGGAATATCATTACCTTAGCATCCCTCACAGTTGCTATTTCCAGGTAGCTGTTGCCAGGAAGAAACACTCTTCTGCCAGTTTAGTGAGATAAAGCTATTGATTGGCTGCCAAAAGTGAGACCTGGTGACAATGCTTGCAAAGAGGATTACAGAACCTCCCATCAGCCTTGAGAAGGGCTGCTGCCAAGTACCAAGTTGGCTCAGTTCCCAGCTTGACTGCCTGTATTACTCCTTGCAGGAAGAGGCCTATGTATACATCTTAGGTGCTTGATATTAACCAAAATGAATTATTAGATAAAATTTTCTACCTACAATCCTATGCAGATCTCTGTGGGACTCACATCTGAGAGATTTTTTTTTGAAATTCTGTTTGATTTATAAACTAGTCCCAAACAGATATCAGATGTTGTAAAAATTGATTAATTGCTATTCAGTTACCGATTTTCATAATATGGAAAGATGTTATAAGCACAAGCTAATTCTCCAACCTCTTTAGGTTCTTTATAAAGTCCATTTAGTGTTTAAAACTTAAGTTGTAGGCATGACAGAATCCAGTGGCAACTTTTATAGTAATTAATGGAGATGCTTGTTTTCATAGCTGATATAAACTTAAGCTAGTCAGGGATGACTTTTTCTAACACCCCGACAACCAAGATTTAAAATAATTCATGGTATGTAACTTTTTTTTTGAGACTAGGTCCCGCGCTGTCACTGAGACTGGAGTGCAGTGGAGTAATGACAGCTCACTGCAGCCCAGTGATCCACCTGGGCCTCCCGAGTAGCTGGGACCACAGGCATATACCACCACATCTGGCTATTTTTTGTAGAGATTGGGGTTTTGCCATATTTCCCAGTCTGGTCTTGAACTCTTGGGCTCAAGCAATCCTCCCCACTTGGCCTCCCAATGTGTTAGAATTATAGGTGTGAGCCACGGTACCGGGCCATGGTGTGTGACTTTATAGTACAATTGACCTAAAGTTGAATGATGATATTTTTTCTGAATTATTGGATGGATACATATGAAATATGTAAGTACTGTGGAACAAACCCCTACATATTCTGATTTCAATAATTTGCCTCTTTGTGATTGAGCGGGTATTGTCTGAAGATGAAAAGAGTATTCTCTAACGTGTAACACTGTCAAATTCAACTCCAAATTCTTAACACCTTTGGTGGGTGCAAATAAAGCTTCATTCAGATGTTTCCAAAATTCATTAGAAAGAGGATAATTCTTTTTTTTTTTTTTTTTTGAGATGGAGTCTTGCTCTGTCACCCACGCTGGAGTACAGTGGTGTGATCTCAGCTCTCTGCATCCTCTGCCTCCCCAGGTTCAAGCAATTATCCTGCCTCAGCCTCCTGAGAAGCTGGGATTATGGGTGCCCACCAGCACACCTTGCGAATTTTTGTATTTTTAATAGAGATGGAGTTTCACCATGTTGGCCAGGCTGGTCTCGAACTCCTGACTTCATGGTATGACCACCTCAGCCTCCCAAAATGCTGGGATTACAACTGTAAGCCACTGCATCCTGCCCTAGCAAGGATAATTCTTAAGGTGCTTAATCTTGGTTGCACATTAAAATCCCCTGAAGTGCTTTGGAAAATGCTAGTGTCCAGGCACCATCTCAAATCAATTAGACTCTTGGGAGAAGGGCCCAGACATCAATTTAAAAAGAAGAAGAAAAAAAAAGCTCCCAGGTGATTCTAGGAGCAGCCAGGGCTGAGAACCAGTGATTTAAACCTTCCAAAAAAGAGGCCACAATGAATCAGATCCTCAGATCCCTCCCCAAATAATCCCTCTCTCTCTCCTTCCCCCTACCACTTACACTCTCTACACACAACCATCAAAGGAACTCTCTGAGGGAACGGGAATGTCTGGTCCTGAGCCTCCCAAATAATAGAGCAGCTAGAAGCATAGGAGCCAGTCCCCAGGAAGCCTGGGAGATGAGCTCATCTGGGGCAGGGGTGGGCTGCACCATTAGCACACAGGTTCTTTGTTCTCCAATCCATGGATAAAGCTCAAAGTTCATTTAGCACCATTGCCAGAGGTAACCTCCGTCCGCATCTTTGCCTCCTTTTTCCTTTTTCCGAAGCCAGCCTGTCCCACTCTTCAACATGTGCAAAAATTCTAGCTCTGTAACTACTAAAGATTCCTATGCTAACCAGCCCAACTGTGAGTACTTCCACTCCCACCGTGGTTGTTGACATAAATGTAATAGGATTAAACCCTTGTCATTCCCATATCATCCCTCTTTCCTTTCCTTTTAGGGCACATTTTAATGAGTGAGCTTATTTCTGAGAATAAGAGAAGCAGGAGGAGGTGAAACAGTGATTCTTGTGTTCAGTGAGCTGGGAAAGTAGTTGAACCTTACAGATGGTGACTGAGTTACTAGGAACACAGAGGCTGATCTGACAGCTGGATACTGTGCATCATTTCCCAAGACTCCTGCCCTCACTGCCCCAGTTGCTATTCCAACAGTGTGGAGAACCTAGTCTCAAGGCACTTGTCCTCATTTACAGAACTCTCAGGAGGTTAAAGTGATGCTTATCAGCCTGGTATCATGCCCCACAGTCTTCACCTGTTCCCTTAACCCTGGAAGTAATTAGTGTTTGATCTACACATCATGTGGTTGGTAGCTTATTCTTCTGTTCTGTCCTTAAGTAAACTTCTGCCAGTCCTTGTATTCTGGGTTGATTATGTTCCAAGTATCACCACAGAGCAGGTGCTGAGCAGTCAGATGACAGCTGTTGATCTGTTGCAAGTGAGCAATTAGAGACTGCAAGAGAATGCCACACCACACAGTTTACATTGAGTATTCTGAAAACCAAATATTTGAGTGCCCACTTTGTGGCAAACACTGGACACACACACACACACACACACACACAATGTCTGTCCTTATGTACAATTAAATGCCCTCTTAAATGAATTGAACCTTTTCCTCTTTATCCGTATTTATCTCTTCATTGACTAATTCATCTCATCATTTTTAAATAGTAGTTGGGGAGGAAAGGAGGGAAACAAAAGCAAGACCTTTCTAAAGAGAGCTTGTAGGTGTTTTTGCACTATAAATTCAAGTGGATGTAAAACTAAATGCTTTTGGCATATAAAGGTCTTATTCAGGAAATACTGAAATCCTAGATGTAGATTTTTAATACGTATTTACCTGAAATCCTAGAAATGCAAAGGTTCAAATGGGCTAAGCAATATGAGGGTCCTCTCAGCTGGGTTCTTTTTCTAAAGGCAAACTGAAAAGCTTTACCAAGCCCACCGCATTCCTTTTAAATCCTATTCACACTGTTCATTTCACCAAAGAGCAGGAGGAGACGCCAGGAAGGCAATCATGGTTCTGAAATACTTTTCTGAATGTGGAGAAAAAGTTTTGTTTGTCCTTCAAGGGCATAAAGAAGAAATAATAAATCCCCCTCCCTCGCTCTGGCCTCCCCCAAGCAAAGAGCAAGACTCTACATTTCCAGCCCACTTAATATTTTACAAAGACACAAGGAGAAGACAGACAGCCGGACAAGAGGGCTGGGCTGGAAATGTAGCCGTGTGTTGGCTTAGCTCTGGTGCTGAGAATAAGCTCTCCGGGCTGACCTCGCGTGGTGCCCTCCGGGGCCAGTGGAAGTGGAGCTCCTTGACTAATGCCTGGCTCAGTGGCATCAGATGACCACGCTAACGGTCATGTTCTGGCCATGGGGCGCTATCTTTCGGGGCAAAGCTAGCAACAGTTTGCGCAGCTCCTCGCGGAAGCTGTCGTGCAGCCAGGCGTAGATGAAGGGGTTGTAGCAGGCCGAGCTCATGGCGAGCCAGTGGCAGAGCAGCTGCACCAGCCCGAAGGCGTAGGGGTCGATGGCGCGCGGGTCGAGGTCCCGCAGCAGGTTGAAGACGTGTAGCGGCAGCCAGCAGACGGCGAACACCACAACCACCACCACCAGCAAGCAGAAGGTGCGCCGGCGCCGCGCGCCGTCCCAGTCGGCCTGGCTCTGGGTCACGCAGCCGGGCACCACCCGGTTGCGGAGCTTCACGGACACCCGGACGTAAGACAGGAGGATGACCAGCAGGGGGAGCAGGTAGGTGCCAAGCAGCAGTCCCCAGGCGTAGAGCTGGCGCTGGCGCTCCTGGGAGCCCCAAAACTCCTCGCAGAGGCGCACATCGTGCGGCTTGAGCTCCACGTGATAGGTGTGCATGGCGGCGGGCAGCGCCAGCACCGCGGACAGCGCCCAGGTGGCCAGCACCGCGTAGGCGCTGAGGCGCAGCGAGATGCGCCGCCGCAGCGGGTGCACCAGCACGACGTAACGGTCCACAGCGATGGTGGTGAGCGTGAACACCGACACATAGACGGTGACCGGCTGCAGGAAGAAGACCAGGTGGCACAGGCCGCCGCCGAACACCCAGCCTCGCGGTTCGAAGGCGTAGGCCAGCGTGAGCGGAACGCAGGCGGCGCACATGAGCACGTCGGACAAGGCCAGGTTGCCGATGAGGAAGTTGGTCACTTTGTGCAGCCGGCGCACCCACGCGATCACCAGCACCAGCAGGCAGTTGCCCACCAGCCCCACGACCACCACGACGCTGTAGAGCAGCACGATCAGCCCTTTCAGCTGATGCACCAGCTGCAGGCTCTGGAAGGGCGTGACGGCCGCAGCGTCCTCGCCAGCCGCGGACCCGTTGCCCGCGGAGACCTCTGTGCTCTGGTTGGCGGGAGTTGTGATCGCCGGCGGCAGCCCAGAGAATAAGTCAGAAACGCTGGGGTTCCGAGTGGGCGGTGAGGCCATGGCCACCTGTGCAAAGATAATCAAAGTCCGTCACTCCCCATTCTCCCTCCGACCTCCTGCACCAGCTGCGCGCCTCCCCCATCACCCGAGTCCTCCCTTGGGAATAACCGGCCACAGAAACAACAGCAAACGCAAAAAAAAAAAAAAAAAAAAAAAAAGGGCTGTCCTTCCACCTTTGTAAGATAAACCTAAGCACGGTTAGATATACACTGCTTATTAAACGCTTCCGCCTCTATTTACGGTCCCCGCAGTCCACGCAGGGAGACCCAGGAGCGCAATCCTACCTAAGAATAGGGTTTGGAGGGCGGGAAAGCGCTCGCGGGAGGAAGGGGCAGAATTTCTGCTGGCCCCCGGAGGTCTCTGCCCACGTCGGCGATCTGGTCTCGCTTCTCCGCGGGAGGTGAACGAATCCAAACGTTCCCAGTGGCCCAGCAGCTTCTGAGAGGGACTGGGAGCGCCTCCCCTCAGCTCCGCCCCCCACTCCAGTTCCCATGTATGGGAAAAGGGGGTGGAGCGCGCTCTGCCCTGCTAAGTGCCTAAAGAACTAGTGAGGAGGACGGTATGGGGAGGATGGAGCCCGAAACCGAAGGAGGGGCCGACAAACCTGGCCAGAGCAACGAGGGGGATGAAACTCGACTGCGGCAGCTCGCATGGCCCCTGGAGGGCACGCTCCGGGGGAGCGCTCAGTGGAGGAGGGCGGAGGAGAGGCGCGAAGCGTCAGGCTGTCGGGAGGACCCGGTGCAGTCTCCGGAGGGAAGCAGCGGGGGCAGGAAGTAGGGGTGGGAGATTGCAATGCAGCTAGGGGCTTGAGAGAGGCACGACTGATCCGTTCTTAAGCGCTGGGTCCTGCCTAACGGCCCGGTTGCGGAAGGCAGAGACGTTAGAGGGCTCGGGCGGGGATTTAGCAGCAGAGCCTAGCGCTGGGGGCGAACCCAAAGACCCTCACCCTCCCGCGGCCCAGGCAGACTAGCCCTGGCTAGGCTGCGGCGCGCTCCGCGGGGGGCGGGTCCGGCGAAGCCGAAGGCGGGAGTCAGCACCACGGACAGCTCCCGTCCGTCCCGACACGCCTTGGGGGAAGGGCAGGAGACAACGATTAGGGAATTCCTGCCCCTGTCTGGATCAGAGGTGTTAAGGGAAGGAACCTGGTCCGTTCAAAGAGCTGCCTCGCGGCCTGCTTTCTGGGCTGGGGCTGAGAAAAGTAGGATGGCGTGGAGGCAGCTGAGCCGGGGGCTCGGGGGTTGGAGGGTCATGACTTTTGCTCCTTTTGCGGATCACCGCACTTAGTGCCAAGGATGGTGTTGTCTTTTACCTCCCGGGGTCAGAAAATGCAGCCCTCCTGCCAGTTATTCTACACAGAACCACGTCAGTGTCTGGCCCAGCGCCCCCCCTCAACCCCCGACCCCCATCCTTTCTCTCGCTCTTTCTCGGCTACCGCGACCTGTGCCACTTCTGCCAGTTTCTCCCAGCACAGAATCTTATTTCCTGGACTGGGATTCGACCCCCTCCCTTCTTAAATGACCACCCACAGGCCTCTTCACTTCATTTTAGGATTTTTTAAAAACACTGGTAATTGCAGATTTCAGCTAGGGTAACAAAAGTAACAAACATTTGAGAAGCTTATGCGTTTCATAAAATCTTCAGTGGTATTAAGTTCTCATTGAAATGCAAATCAGCCTGGACCAAGGGGCAGGAACCAGGGGAGGAGGGGCCTTTGTAAGCTCCCTCCTTAGAAGCTATCTCATTCCCTCAGCCTCTTGTTTCCTTTTTCCAGAGCGTGGAGCATCATTGTCTGCTCTCTGATAAGTCCTTGTACTTTGTCCTCTGGGGCTGCAGATATCCCAGTTAGACTGGAAAGAAATAGCAATTTATTCTGCCCTCCAAATTTAAATGAATCACTCACATAGAAAAAAATCAACACTGAAACATAAGCAATCAATGTCTTGCACCTGTATGCATCCTAAACTCACACTCCCTGAGTTATAATCAATTTAGCTAAAATCAGTGTGTATGTGTGTGTGTGTGTGTGTGTGTGTGTGTGTGTATTATACATATATGTTTGGAATATATATATATATTATACATATATGTTTGGAATATATATATATATACAAGGTCTCACACCATCATCCATGCAGTGGCACAATCATGGCTCACCCAGGCCCAAGTGATCCTCCCACCTCTCAGCCTCACGAGTAGCTGGAACTGCTGGTGCACACCACCATACCTGGCTAATTTTTGTATTTTTTGTAATGGTGAGATCTTTCCATGTTGCCCAGGCTGATTGAACTCCTAGGCTCAAGCAATCCTCCTGCTTCAGAGTCCCAACGTTCTGGGATTGCAAGCATGAGCCATGGCACCCAGTCTCAGTATTATATTTTTTACATTGCAGAGTTCTAAATTCTCATTTAGAATTTTTCTCATTATTTTCATCTGCAGGGTTTTATGCACTCAAAAGCAGGGGCACTCTTTTGTTTCAACATCTCTTTTGTTTCAACAGCAGAGGAAATTGTGGTAAAGTCAGTGAAAAAGGTTTTAGGATGTTGTTAGGCCTCCTAACTAGAGCCATCATTCTGGTCAATATCATTATGTTGGTCAATTATCATATATAACAGTAAAAGTAATAATATGAAGACAATCTTGTCATAATTAAAGGTCATGCAAACATGGATATTTGAAGTTTCAATACTGGGGCACCCTTTAGAGGAGAGTTGATCATTTGTCAAATTCCAAATAAAGTCAGGCAAGTGTTTTAGTATTATCAATATTTGCAAGGTGGAAAAGGAGTGAACAGCTGTCCTTTGAAGAGGGAATGAAGATCTAATAGCCCACATTAAATCTTCATTCCCTCTTCTCTTCCCTGAAGTTAAGGCTAGTCCCTCTTCCAGCCAATACATCATGATTAAATCATACTAATGTTCAGACTGTCCAGTACTAAGAATGCTCCAAAAACCTGAGAGAGCATAAATAAACAAAAAACTTAGGACAAATGAAGGAAAGACAGTACTTCATACAGTAGACAGCAAACTAAGGGATCTTACTTCCTCCCATTCTCCAAAAGCCTTCAATGCCCCATCAAACCAAGGCCAGATGCTTTAGCATGGCATTTCCAACCAGTGTGCACTCCCTTTTAGATACACCCTCATTTTTTTGGTCTAGCTTCTCACCTCTGTTCATTTTATTCCCTATGCAGAAGCCAAATTTTACTGGGTGCTGAAATATCCTCACTATTCCAGTCTAATTCCTCTCTTTTTTTTTTTTTTTTGGACATGGAGTCTCGCTCTGCCACCCAGCCTGGAGTACAGGGGTGCAATCTCGGCTCACTGCAACCTCCACCTCCCAGGTTCAAGCAATTCTCCTGCATCAGCCTCCTGAGTAGCTGGGACTACAGCCATATGCCACCATGCCCAGCTAATTTTTGTATTTTTAGCAGAGACGGGTTTCACCATGTTGGCCAGGATGGTCTCAATCTCTTGACCTTGTGATCTACCCACCTGGGCTTCCCAAAGTGCTGGCGATTACAGATGTAAGCCACCGCACCTGGCCTAATTCCTCTCCTAGGCTTTATTTCTTTACTCCAGAATGTCAGTTGCTTAATCCCCACTCAACTCTACCTGTCCACATTCTTCACACCCTACAAGACCCAACTCAAAGATGACTATTCTCAAAGACTTCTCCCTTCCATAATCATTCTGTCCTTTATTACTTTTTACCTTGAAATTATGAAAGTATTTAGCTTTCCTGCCTCCACCAACCCAGACTGTAAATTCTTTATTGCAGGGCCAATGTCTTGATTCATTTTGTACCTACAACATACCATAAGTCCAGTAGATATCCAACACATGTGTTTTTCTTTTTTTTTTTTTTTAATGAATAAAAATAGCACCATTTATTTGGGGCTTTAGGCACCCCAGGCATTGCTAGGTACTTCATATAAATTGTTTTATTTGATCCCCTTCAAAATTATCGTTATACCCATTTTATAGATGAGAAAACTGGCTCTCGAGGCTAAGAAACTAACCATAGTTGGATATCTAATATGTAGTAAGGTTGGAATTTCATTTTAGATCTGCCTGATTCTGGCACCATACCATTCAACTACGATAGTTACTGCCTATGAATGAATGGCAGATGTACCTGCAGAGACTAAAAATACAAGCAGGTTCAAATGAGATTAAAGAAACATAGGGACCCCCCCCCCCGCCCATGGTTTATTAAAGAAAGCTCTAGAAAATTTAGTTACCACTCACACCTTATCATGTTTAAGCTAAGCAGATCTTTATGACTTATTGCCCTTGTTTCTTGCTTCCATCACATATGGGAGACAAAACCTGAGGCCATAGGAACTTCAGGAGATGGTCTTTGCTGATGATAATAGGTGACACTATGTGGAAATCAGAAGACAGATGACAGAAGTAAGGACTGCTGTTAGAGTTTTAGGAAGCTTGGTTAAAGTGAAGATTTGATATCAGCTAAGTTCATGCTGATATGTTGTCGTTAGCCCAAATTTATGGGAAACCACTAGATATCGGTTTTGACTACTAGCACAAAGAGCCAATTGCTAGTACAATTGTTTGATACTTGTCTAAGGCCAGATAATAACAGGGCAGAAGCCCTCCCAAAGTGAGTTTTGTCTTCTACACCTTCCCTGTGTGCTTTCCAACACCCACATGCCACCATGGCTGCTGAGGCTGAGCCAGACACCAGTTCTTAAAGCTTTTCCAAATCACTGCCTGGCCACACTAGGGCTGGTCACCTAAGGCAGAGCAGCCTGTGGCAGGTAGTGTAAGAATGGATATGACAATTCATGCAAATATGAAAACACCCTGTGTGTTTCCATCAGATGACTCTGAGGCAAGTGTATTTTGTCGCAGACTCCAGACATACTCATAATTAGATTTTGAAAACATTTCATTTCAATTAGATTTTGAAAACATTTCATCCAGGCTGTCCTCTTACTCTTGAAATAGCAACAGGTCAAGTGAAGAAAAATGATGTTTTAAAAAAGAATAAAACCAGGATATAAGCCAAAGCCAATTACCAAAGGGTGGAGATAACACGTCACAAAGCTCCAAGTCAAAATAAGGAATAATACACAGCTGCTGAGCCTGAATGACAGCCCTCCCGCTATGAATGTAAGTCATTGGACAAATTCTTTACCCTGGAGATTTGGGAAAATCTAATAATGCCTACCTCTGAGGGATGTTGAGAAAACCCAGTGATATAACATGTGGGTAAATATGGGCGAGGTGGCTCACATCTGTAATCCCAGCACTTTGGGAAGCTGAGGCAGGTGGATCACCTGAAGTCAGGAGTTTGAGACCAGCCTGGCCAACATGGCAAAATCTCATCTCTACTAGAAATAAAATTAGTTGGTTATAGTGGCATGCACCTATAGTCCCAGCAAGTCGGGGAAGATGAGGCAGGAGAATCACTTGAAACTCTAGTGGCAGAGGTTGCAGGGAGCCAAGAT